CCTTCGCCTTCCGGGGACGTGACGCGCGGCTCACGCGCCTCCCGCCCCAGCAGGTTCTCGTAGCTGCGGCCGCGGCCCAGCGGGTCGTCCCGGCGCGGGCCGGGTGCCAGAATGTTGTCCCAGGAGCGTGAGTAGTGGCGGCTGTCGGTGGCCAGCCTGGGTGGGCTGGTGCCCGTGCCCCCGTGCCACGAGGCGAGCAGCGGCCCTGCGTCCGGGGATGGCGTCACCTGCAGAGTGCGGTACGGCCGCGGGCCCCAGTCGCCCCAGGCTGGGCTGCCGCGCGGGTAAGGGTAAGTTCGAGCCAGGGCGTCGCGCTCACGGTACCTTCCCCAGTCCTCCGTGTGGTAGGGACGCGCGGTAGGGCGGGCCCGGGGCTCCTCGGGGACGTAGCGGGGGCCACAGGGCGGGCCGTAGGCGCGGGACGCCTCCGCGTAGTAGGAGCGTGAGGGCGGCTCCTGGATCGGGAAGGTTCGGACTTCTCCTGGGTAGTAAGCGCGCCGGTGCTGAGGGCTGGGCCCCGGGGGCTCCTCCGTCGTGTAAGGCCTGGGACAGTAGGCGTCGAAGGGAGGGCCCGGGCTGCCCGCAAAGCCGCCAGGGTAGCCGTCGGGCTCCTCGGTGTAGAAGAATTGAGTGGGGCCGGGCGGGGTGGCGAAGGACGGGTTGCGTCGCTCTGTGTAGTCCCGGGGCCCAGGTAGCCCGTCGCAGTACAGCGCCCGGGGATCCACACAGTAGGAATCGCTGGGAGTGGGCGTGCGGGACAGAGCCACGTGCCGAGGTCCTGGCACCGTGAGGCCGTGCAGAGGCGCGCCGCCGCGGACCCAGGGTGCAGCGTCGGTGGGTCCCGAGGACCGCGGGCCCCGGGCGGCGTGCTGCAGCACTGCGTCGTCAGGCTTGATGTCCAGGCGGCAGCGAACGTGCGGGGCTGGCCCAGCGGGTGGCTCAGGCTGCGGGCAGCGGCCAGCGGTGGCGCACAGGGGTGCAATGCGGCCTGGGCCACCCCGCTGCGGCTGTAGCTTGATGGGATGCAGCTCGTTAGCCAGCGCGCGCAGCGCAGGGTACGTGGGTTCCCGGCGAGGCGACGTCTCGTTGCGCGCTGCCCGCTGGGCGTCCCGGCCTCGGCGCGGCAGCACCGGGGGTGAGGCGGGCGCGGCAGGCGTCAGGCCCGGAGGTGCGCGTGGCGCGCTCTTGGAGCGGGCCCGGCGCCGGGTTTCGCCCTCGCGGGGTCGGGGGCGAGGGGCGGTAGGCTCGGGGGGCTGTGGCTCAGGGCGCGGCGGCTCGGGGCGCCCACGCCCTCCGTGGCCCTCCATGGGCGGCCCGTCCAGCGCCTCCAGGAAGTCGAAGCTGCGGCAGTAGCGCTTGTTGACTTGTACGGGCGCAGCAGGCCGGGCCATGGCGCGCTCACATGTCGGGCGCCGCGATGCGGGGCCCGGGGCCGCCACCTTGATGTCCTGGTACACCGTTGACACCAGCAGGTCCGGCGGGTCCGTGCGGGTCATCTTAAAAGAGGGCCCCAAGCTGGCGGCTCCAGCTCACTCGGCGTGGTGGGGCTCTCGCCCTGCGGAGAAGAGGCGGGGCTTTCGCCCTGCGGAGAAGCAGCTTGTCAGGGACCCCTCCTTGCCCGCCCGCCACCCCCGCGCTGACCCAGCTTACCTGGGGCGCAGCAGCCCCGGCTGTGGGCCGTGGCCGTGGCCGTGGCCGCGGCCGCCTGCTCCATGCCGGCGTCAGAAGCACCTGCAGGAGAAACTCAGCGGTCCAGCCACCCAGACCCTGCTCCTCCCCCTAGACCGCCCCAATCCGGGCCCCTGCTACAGGGATGGGAGAGCCAGCCAGGCTAACGATGCCACTGTCCCGGTTCCAAGCCCCTGCTCGCAAGCGCGGGTGGGCCGGCATCCGCCCGCCGAGCACTGCCAGCTGGTGGGACAGTGGGGGCTTGGTCTGCGAGCCGCCCCTGCACCCACAGGCGGGATAACCGGGCACTTTTTGGGGGGCCTTATTTACAAACTCCAGCGGCAGCCCCTCCCAGCGCCCCCTGCAGACGACCCCTCCATAGTGCACAGGCGTGGAGCCTCCCACCGCACCTGGGACGCGGCTGCGCACAGACCCTCCTCAGAACTGCGAGGCGGCTGCGCTCCGCAGCGCCCGGTCACCAGTTTGAGTCCTTTCTGCGTCCCGCGGCGGCCGCCCCGCCCCGGCCGGGCAAATGCCCTAAGAGCAAATAAGGCCGGCCCTCGAGCCCCATGTCACTTTCAGAAACCTGGGATCCCACCACGATGGGGACTGGGCCGACAAGCCCGCAGA